GGTCCGCCCAGCCCCTCCCCCCACCCGCTCACCTCCCTGTTACCTGAGGTATGTGGTAAGATTCTCCCCACGGTACAACCCGGTTCCCCGCAAGCCCGGGCTGGGGGGGGAGGGGTGGGACCTGGCCCCGACCCCCGTCCCCCACCGCCCCCACACACACTGGAGTAAGGGGCGGAAGGCCAAGAGTCTGTCACTAAGTTCCCATGGCAACTCAGAGGGGCCATTTCCAGCCTTAGCACTGGCATAGGGAGGTGTCCATTGGCTGCTATTCCCATGGCAACCAGGAGGGGCAGATCCCTGGGCAAATGGGTTACATGTTTCCATGACGATGAAAAAGTGGGAAGAGCCAAGCTAGAGGAGTCCGGTCTTCCCCATCCTGGGCTGGCACACCCCCTCCCAGCTCAGGTCAGGAGGGGTTGCGATGCTCCAGAGAGCGCCGGGGTGGCACAGTCCAAACCGGGTGCCCACCGGTCCAGTCTCAGTCCACGATGGTCTCCTCTCATCCCACTCCGGCTCCCCTGGTCCGAGGTTCCCCCGGTTCAAGTAACACTTCAGTACAGATGAATGTTCAAGTATTGTGCGGAGAGGCAGGCGGGGGCTGGGGTACCCCTCGCCACTCCCCTGGGCCACGAGCTGAACAGCAGGTAGGCCCGGTAGGCCCGCAGCCCCCACTCCTCGCAATAGCTGCCATTTTCAGTGACGTCCAAGGAGTCAGGGTGGGGAAGGAACTGAAATCTGGGCAGGGGGAAGGAGAGGGGTGACCCCCGTAGTGGGCTCCTACGGCCCCCACACCCACTCTGTCCCTCTGCCTCTGACGCCTGGGTCCCCCACTGCTCCTCTGGTTTCCCTTGGTGCCCACCCCCCCAGTATCTGGTCTTTGTTCCCTGAACCCTCCTGGTCTGCTTTCTGCCCCTCCCCCACCCGCACCCCGAGTGCACCCCCTCTTCCCACTCTCCCTCCCTCAGACTTGCACTGTAACCCCCCTCCCACCATCCCTTTGGCTCAGCACCCCCAGTACCTCTGACTCACTCCCCCCAGGGGATAGACAATGAAGCAGGTGGAAGAGGGAGGAGATGGGAAGGAGAGACCCCCAGAGATATCAGTGCAGGGGGAAGAGAGGGGAGGCTGGCTCCAGTCCCTGGGGAAGATCCCCAAGTCATGAGGTGGGTCACCTGGCCTCCTAGCTGGGGAGGGGGGTGAAATGAAGGCCTGAGGTCCAGGCTCCTGATGAGTCCTGGAGGAGGGCGGGGGCACCCAACTAGCTGTCCTTGAGAAGCAGCTTCTCCTCTGGGCAGCGGAAGGGGCCAGGGGGCCCAGCAGCTGCCAGCCGGGCACAAGCTTCAGGTGAGAGCTGGCGGCAGGAGCGCAGGTCTAGGCGGCGGAGACGTGGGCAGCGGCGGAAGAGCGGGAGGCAGTGGTCCGTGAGGCGGTGGCAACCTGGGGACGGGCAGTGGCAATTGAGACCAGGTAGGTAAGGAGGTAGCAGACACTGGCCACGCAGATGGCGTGGGCCACACCTGAAGATGGGCCTTTGCCTCCTTCTTTTTTTTTTTTTGTACCGGGGATTGAACTCAGGTCCTTGCGCTTGCAAGGCAGGCCACTGAACCGCTGAGCCAAATCCCCGGCCTGTTTGCCTCCTTCTTCCCTGCTCCTTTTCCTCCACAGATTAGACCGTGTCTGTTTGACTCATACTGCAGATCCTGGATGGCACAGACTCGGGAGAGTTACATTAAGCACCCTTCCCTGTGCCCTGCATCATCTACTGGGCCGGGCAGCACTGTTGGCCCCACCTTCTCTCCCTGTTTACCTTCCACTCTAAATAGTGTGTATGCGACCCCAGGCTACCATGGGTTCCTGACAAGCTATGGTTCCACCTGGTCCCAAATTCAAGAATAGTCTTGGTTTCTTCATCCCCCACTGCTGTCCCCAGCTTTGGACCCTACACACTGTGCAGGTCGCGGCAGACCAACAGGCTGTCAAGACAGCCAGGGGGCCGTGCTTACCAGCAAGATTGAGGTGTACCAGGGTCTCTCGGAGTGGGGAAGTGGGAGCTGTGAGGAGGTGGACAGTGGGGTCTCCAACATGGGCACAGTGGCTCAGATCCAGGGCACTCAGCTGGGGTGCATGGCGTAGCAGGAGCCGCAGGGAGGCATCTGTCAGCTCCAGGCCTGCCAGGCGCAGCTCGGCCACTCCCTGCAGCCGCCCGCGGCTCTCCGTTTGCCCTGGGCAGACAGAGGAAGACATGAGTACCCCAGGCAGCTCCTGTGCCTGCACTCAGACCACTGTGTCTCCCACCCATGTTCCTCACCACCCCCAAACCTGCTCCTGCCGTACAGGAGCCTCAAGTGACAGTGTTCTCTAAATGCTTTGCTCTTCTCCCCACACCCACACTACCTGTCCATGGCGCACACCGTCACTCCAATGAGGCCTCTAGGAGACTCGATTTGAAATATTCCTCACGCTCCCATCCCTTCCCAGACGCCCCTAGTATCTGGCATATTATATTCATTCTTTCATACTAATCTTCCTCTCTCTCCCATGGGAATGTGAGCCCCATGAAGGCAGGACTTTTTCTGCACTGCTTCAGCCCTAGCAACTGAGGCAGAGCAGAGTGTCTACCATATTTTCACCTACTCACCCAACCTGAGAACCCCTACAGGGAACCACCCCATGCTCCACTTCCTGCTGCTCCATGATTAGTAAAGTCACCATCTGGAGCTCTCCAGTCCCCCTGGTCACCTCTATGTCCACAACACTTTTCTGAACTGCTCCTGTCTTTTCACTCCTTCCAGTTTCTTTCCTGGCTCTCAGAGGAAGCTTGTTTCAAATACTGACAGCAACTCAAAAGAAATCATCTCCTTGGTAGAACATCCATTTTCTGTCAGGTCTCATCCCTGCCTTAGCTCCTAACTCCTCTCCCTCACCCCCAAACATCAAGATCACAGCCCAGAAGCGGCTCTGCACAAGACTGCCCATGGCCACTAGCCCAGCTTTCAGGTTGGAGCTGAGAGGCTTCCCCCACCCTCAGGGTGACGAGCTCTGCCTCCTCCTTGAACCCAAAACACAGTCTGCAGTCTGCCTTTCTCCTCTGTCCTGGGAGGCTGGGCTCTGCCCCCCGTCCCCCCAGAGTTGTAACACTGGCTAGTGCAGATTTCCTTTCTTTCTTTTTTTTTTTTTTGATTTTTTGATACAGGGTCTCACTGTGTAGTTGAGATTGACCTGGAACTCACAACATAGCCCAGGCTGGTCTTGAACTCACAGCGATCCTCCTGCCTCAGCCTCCCAAGTGCTGGGATTACAGGCATGCACCACCATACCCAGCTTTTTTTTTTTTTTTTTTCCAGCCTTAATTGAGTTTATTGGTACATTTTAGGGATACAGTACAGTTACATTCATTGTTGGGATCTTGTACTGCTACATGAAACTTTTTTTTTATTTTAATTTTTTTGGTTTTTTGGAGATAGGATCTCACTATGTAGTTCAGGCTGGCCTTGAATTCACGGTGATCCTTCTGCCTCAGCCTTCCACATGCTGGGACTACAAGTATCCATTGCCACACCGGGCAGGGTTTAGTTTTCTGAAAAGTTTTCCTGATATTGATGCCACTGGGCCAGACACCAAACTGTAAGAACGTCAGCCTTGGGGATTTGGCTCAGTGGTTCTGCCACCTGCCTCACAAGCCCAAGAGCCCAAGTTTGATCCCTGGTAACAAAAACAAAACAAAACAAAACAACCCAAGAAACAAAAAACAAAAGAATGCCAGCCTTAGGAGACAAGTTCTCTGACCACTATCCCATTAATGGATGAGAAAATTGAGTTGTGTCATAAAAGCCTTCTAAGATCACACAATTAGGAAATAATGAAGCCAGGAAACCCAGGCCTAGTGACTGCATCCAAACCCCCTCCCCAACCAGGAATGGAACTCAGGACTTTGCCAGGCAGGAATGTCACCACTGAGCTATATCCCAGCCCACTGCATCCAAATTTTTTTTATTTTGTACCAGGGATCGAACTCAGGACCTGATGCTTGCAAGGCAGGCAGCGGCACCACTGAGCTAAATCCCCAGCCCTGCATCCAAACTCTTAACACAAGGCCACCTGCCTGCCAGACCTGGCCCTCACAGAAGCTCCATCAGATATCAGATTCACCCAACCTGCCTCCAAGCATTTGGTGGAATCTGTATAACATTAAAATTTCTCTAAATGGACTGTGAGACACCGCAGCACTGGGCTTCCAGCCCACCTGGTGACTATGGCCTACAGCAGGCCCGCTAGTGCCACTCTCTGACATCCTGCACCAAACACATCACTTCTGTTACCTAACAGGCTGCCCCTGGGCATGCTCAACCTGGCACACCCTAGATCAGTGGAGGCAAACCTAAGGCATTGTCATCACTGCCCTAGATTCTATTCTCTTCTTGGTTCCAGGAGCTGAGAACCTGGAAAGGGAGAACATTAAAAGATGCCGTCAACCCTGACCACAGCTAATGGCCACTAGAGCAAAGAGAGGTCACTTCTGGCTTGGCAGTAGGAAGTGGGCATCAGTAAGGAAGGAAGTGCTGGCACTTGAACTGGGCCTTCAAGGGTCTAAAGGATATCAGTGTGGGCTGGGGATTTAGCTCAGTGGTTCTGCCGCCTGCCTCACAAGCACAAGGACCTGCATTCTATCCCTAGTACCACCCCAAAAAAGAAGATTTAGGACCAGGGATTTAGCTCAGTGGCACTGTACCTGCGTTGCAAAAACAAGCTCCTGAGTTTGAACACTAATACCAAAAAAAGGGGGGGGGCGGTTATATAATAGAGTACTGCTCTGCCATAAAGAAGAATGAGCTTCAGACATTTCTAGCTAAATAGATGGAACATGAGACCATACTCTTAAGTGAAACAAATAGAACACACATGTTTAAATATCGCATTGTTTCTCTGGTGTGAGAAAGTGAATGTGGAAATGAGGACTGAAATATATAATGGATGTTGGAAAATGCGAAGAAAGTGTTAAAATGCGAAGATGAACAAGGGAGGAGGGAGGGAGAAAGGAAAGAAGAGACAACAAAAAAGTGAAAATAGAAGGAAAAAATGGAAACAAAGCTTTTGTACATAGGGAGGGGAGGGGGCTTGAGGGGGGAGGATGAGGCAAAATTTATTTAAAAAAATAAATACTAGGGGGCCGGGGATTTAGCTCAGCGGTTCGGTGGCTTGCCTTGCAAGTGCAAGGACCCGAGTCCAATCCCCAGTACCAAAAACAAACAAACAAACAAACAAACAAATAATTAAATACTAGGGGCCAGGGATTTAGCTCAGTGCTGCCATGGCCTGCCTCCCAAGCTCAAGGTCCTGAGTTCAATCCCCAGTACCAAAGAAACAAAATACAAAAAACTGGTCTTTATCCAAGAAGTACTAGGGACAATGGCAGTTTAGAGCACCACTAGGGTGGACACGGGCAGGTATGCCCTTCTGGATGGTGAAAAGACTAAGAGAGCCAGAGAAGATTGCAGCTGGCATCCCAGCTCCTGACTTTCGTGAGGCCTCAGTGGCTGTCCCTCCACCTCCGTAGGACGCCCCCCAGAGGTCCTCGGGCCTCTGTTCCCAGCACCCCCTTCTGCCAACACAGGCCCCTGCCCACCAATCTGCTCATGTCATGCCCCATACTCCTTGGAAAAACACCATCCTTTCAAGACAGTTCAAAGCACACAGCACATGAGTGAATGAACAAACAGTAGCAGGAACGGCTTCCCTATTCAACTCACATGTTCTTCCCTTTCTTCCAATCCTTCAACATCCAGATGAGTCATGAGAGGCTTGGAAGGACTATACCACCATCTTTCCCACTTATTCCACAGATGAGCACACAGAGGCCGTACCTGGTTTGGTGTCTGGTGGAGGCAAAAGCAGCTCTCGGAGCTGGGAGTCCTTAACATCCTCAATCCAGCGCAGATCCAGGAGCCTCAGGGCTGGCAGTGGGGCTGAGCCCAGGGCAGAGACAGAGAGCCAGGAGCAGCCGGAGAGCACCAACTCCTGCAGGCCTGTTGTGGGGGGTGGGTATCAGAAAACAATACAGTAAGTCCCCAACTTACAAACATTCAATTGTGGCTGGATGTGGTGGCACATGCCTGTAATCCCAGCACTCAGGAGGCTGAGGCAGGAGGATCGCTGTGAGTTTGAGACCAGCCTGAGCTACATAGTGAGTTCCAGGTCAGTCTCACTACATAGTGAGACCCTGTCTCAAAAAAACAAAAACAACAACAACAACAACAACAACAACAACAACAAAATCAATTGCCAGGGATTTAGCTCAGTGGCAATGTGCCTGCCCTGTAAGTACAAGGTCCTGAGTTCAATCCCTGATACACATGCACACATACACAAAGTGAGTTCACATGGGGTCAGGGATTTAGTTCAATGGTTCTGCCACCTGCCTCACAAGTGGAAGGTCTGGAGTTTGATCCCCAGTACCCCCAAAAAAGAATCTCTAATACAAACACTGAGTTGCAAAGTTTTAGATATGAATGGACCTCACTTCTGGTTATTTTAAGCTTTACATTGTATTATCTGTGTCACAGGAGCACAGCACTCATTTTGTCGGATTTATGAATGAATCCAACTTATGAATGTTCTCCCAGAATGGAACTTGTCAGGGACTCCATCCCAGGCCTGTCCCTGCCCCTACCCTCCCCTTACTCACCACCCCACCCTACCTTGCAGTCGGTTCAGAAGCCACATAAGCTGCTTCTTGGAGACACCTGTCCAGCTGAGGTCCAGGGCACGGGGCTGGCGGCGAACCACCCCACTAAGCATGGGTGGTGTCAGTGACTTCCGCCGGCTCAGGTCCATTCGAGGCCACAGACGCTTGTCGTAGCACCTGCCAGCCACAGGGAGGAGACAGAGACAGCCTCAGCTCTTGGGAAACCACAATTCCCACACTCCCCACAGTTCACCTTAATTCTTTCCTGGCATTCAGAAGCTCCAGGCTTGGGGCCAAGAGCACTGGGCTTGGGACCCAACTCCATCACTGACTGGATGCAAGACCCTGGGCAAGTCTATTCCTCTCCCTGAGCCTCAAAGGTCTCCTTTATAAAACGAAGATAATAATCCAGACTGTCCCATAAAGGTGCAGTAAGATCAAATGAGGTAATTACACACTGCAGGCCTTAAAGGGGCCTATAAAGAGTTTAGTCAAGTAACTACACAAATACCAGCACACTATTTGATGTGATGCCAAAGGGATCTGTGAGCAGCCCCCAGATCCCTGCCTCTGGGCTCCTTGATTTCCCATCACAACCTCAGATAGCATGGACATGTTTCATTTCCTCTACTAATCTCTGCCACTTTGACAGCCAGTTACCAGTGCTGGACTCACAGCTCTGATATGTTCTTTTTGTGTTCTTCCAATTAAAATGTAAATCTACTCCATAGAGTAGATTCAGCTTTTTTCCCTTCTGCATATCTAATATCCAAACACCACCAGATGCAAAATGTAGGTGATTTGTCACACATTTGTGAAAAGAATGAATTAAGCCAGTGTAAAATGCTCAATGCTTCCACTGAGTACTCCCGTTGGTCCTTCCTTTGTAGCTTTGCCTTTATTCACTCAATGTTTATGGAGGGCCTGCTAGGTCCCAGGTACTAAAGCTACGAAAAGAAATGAGGTCTGAACAAAGTTAACCAGGTTTCCTAACTCCAGCTCACCAAAAGCCTCAACCAGTACAGCAGCTGTGAATGAGAGGGCTTCCCACACTTATTTCACCATGGAACCCCTCTCTACCTCTCCTAAAGTGTTTAGCTATTAGTATTAACATTCTACAGTACACTAAAGTACCTTGGATTCAGTTTCAGAACTGTCTTCTAGTTCTGTAGTTCTCAAAGGCATTTCAGGAGATTCGCAATGAACTAAATGAGCTGTCAGAGCCAACAAGTGGGGCCTGGGAAGACCTATATTCCCTCCCTCACATTCCTCAAGATTCTAAAGGACTTTCCCTTGCAGCCCTGGGCTGGAGCAGAGATATTCAAACTCCACTCATTTGCTCTCAGAATATGAAATTTACTTTCAAATAATCTACTCTTCACTTAAAACTAGTTATTTTTTTCTTTTTAGTACCAGGGATTGACTCAGGACCTTGTGCTTGTGAGGCAGGCACAGTGCCACTGAGCTAAATCCCCAGCCCAACCAGTTATTATTTTCAAAATGACAAGATTAAGCCATGATTTTGAGTCACTTAAAACTGCCAAGCAGCCAGGCAGTGGTGGTACATGCCTGTGACTCCAGCACTTGGGAGGCCGATGCAAAGACTGCCACAAGTTCAAGGTCACCCTGGGCTATGCAGTGGGACCCTGTCTCAAAACCCAAACAACAATAACATCAATAATTTTTTTAAAAAGCCAGACTGCCAGGCAAGGTATCATGCATTTGTAGTCCCAGCTACTCAGGAACAGGAGGCAGGAAGACTGCTGGAGCCCATGAGTTCAGGCCAGATTGGGTACACAGTGAGACGCTGACTCAAAAACAAAAACTGCCAGGCACACTTCAGAACCCTTACTGGAAATTTCAGTGAATACTAGATGTATTCACCAAGGCTTCAGTCAGAACAAAACCCCTCTGCTACTCACTATCCTGTCCCCTCCTAACATTCCTGACCCCACCTCCACTACTTTCGTCTCTCCTGATTCCCTCCATTCAATAAACATTTGCAAATCTTTCCAACTTTAAGAAGGAAAAGTGAAAGTGGGTGTGGAGGTGCACACCTGCAATACCAGCACTTGGGAGGCTGAGGCCTGGGCTACATAGTGAGTTCAAGGCCAGTTATACTACACAGCAAGACCCTGTCTCAAAAACAAAGCAAACAAAAAGTGGAAAGTAGAGGTGCTGGGCATGCTGGCGCACACCTGTAATCCCAGCACTCTGGAGGCTGAGGCGGGAGGACTGCTCCAAGTCTGAGGCCAGCCTGGGGTACATATGGAGACACTGTCTCAAAAACAGAAAAAGAGCCAGGCTTGGTGGCGCACGCCTGTAATCCCAGCACTCGGGAGGCTGAGGCAGGAGAATCGCTGTGAGTTCGAGACCAGCCTGGGCTACATAGTGAGTTCCAGATCAGTCTTAACTACATAGTGAGACCCTGTCTCAAAACAACAACAACAACAACAACAACAAAAAATAGAAAAAGAATAAAAGGTGGAGGAAAAACTCGCTCTCAACCCAGCCTCTATTCCTTTTCTCTCTTTCCATTTAGTTAACTCCTGCTCAATGCAAAGCCTCTCTCTGCCCCCCGACTGAGCCCTCAGCCCTTTGCTCAAATGCTACCACTTCCTTGAAGCCCTTTTGGATTATCTACTTGCGAGGAAACCTCTCTCCTGGAGGAGACTAGCAAGCCCCTAATTGTGTTTTTGGCCCACACTCCATGAGAGCCAGGCCAAACCATCTGCCTGCCTACAGACAAGTAATACTGCCTGGGGCCAACACATTCTGGCACACACAGTGCCTCTGCTCAGGAAGTCTCTCTGAGCCTGTCTATGCTACTGCAGTTAGTCCTAGGACACTGGGATCAGACAGTAGTGGCAGCCAATAATCACTGAAAGGTCTACCGATAACAAGTGTCCAGCTTCACTGACTGGGCAGAGAGCAGGGAAAGATGGCAGGGTTGTCACTATACAAGTAGAAAAGACACAATTTAACTGAGGCAGAAAGAGGTACAGTAAGAGTCAACTCAAGGACCAGGACGTGGGAGATGATGCCTGAGCTGTGAGGTAAGCAGCTGTTATGCCATTACTCCAGCGAGAAAAAGGAAGCAGGGTGGAGACTGTGTAGGTGCAGAACAGGGTCTACACAGAAAGTTGTGGGAATCTTAGGCAGCAGGAACCAAGGGCAACTCATCCTACTATATCAGTGATGACCCTGACTATAGCAGTAACGTTGCGTTTTTCCAAGGCTTACTACATGCCTTACTACTGCTCTTCTCTTTAAGCATTATGCCTCATAACAGCCCGAGAAGAGCATTTTCATCTTTTTTCCTTCTCCCATATACTTTAAAACATCCCTAGATTACTTATGACGACCAATATAAATGCTATGTAAGTTGTTGAGTACTGTTGAGAGTAACAACCAAAAAAGATCTGTACACGTTCAATACAAATGCAATTGTTTTGCTATATTTTCTTCTTTCTTACTCTCTCATTCATTCATTGACTTTTTTTGGTGGTGCCTGGGAGGGAAACCGGGACCTCACACAAGGCAGGCTAGTGTTCTATCACTGTACTACACCACCAGCCCTTTACATTTTATTTTGAGACAGGGTTGCACTAAGTTGCCCAGGCTGTAGTTCATCTTGTAATCTTCCTGCCTCAGCCTGAGTCTTGAGTTGAATATTTTTATTCTACAATGGTGGCAGATATGGAACTCACGGATGCGGAAGATCAACTGTATTTACTTGATGCAGATTAAATGAGGTGGTTTCTGCAAAACACTTAGCACAGTGCCTTGCCTGAAGGGTACAAAACACTCAATAAAAGGGCAGAGTAGAGCAGGGCCTACAGAGACCAGAGTACGGGATAAGTCAGGAGGTTTTGCCAGGTTGGCCATAGAAGCAGTACAGTGGGGCAGGGCTTGGGTTGAGAACTTTTAAAGAAAGGGAATGGCTTGGATGTGTGACTATGTGAACCCCCACGCTAGGCTATGGGGGTAATGGAAAATCTCAACTGAGTTTTAGCATAGGACCTGGACGGGAGCAGTACTCTTTCCCAGGCTTGGGGATCAAAGGAGTGGAGTGGGTTCCAGTGGAAAGTGAAGAACTCAGGTTTGACCTTTGAAAGGCAGATGGGCCAGTCAGATGGAACAGGAACAGAACCTGGATCTGCTGATCCAGTGCTCAAGAGAAAAATGTAGGTAGGAGAGTTTTCAGCCTACAGGTAGCAGCTTCATGGAGAGAGGCAGGACTGTCAGTATTTAAAAGTTAGAGAAAGATCAACCCAAGAATTAGAGGAGATTAAAGATGGAGATGTGCTGTAAAGACAAGAGACTGAGGGAAGGAGAAAAAGGAAGGATGGGTGAGCAGTGGTAGATACTGGTGAGGGGTCATGGGAGAACAAGGAGCAGGAGGTGGCAGTTGAATTTTGCTACAAAAAGGTCTTGGGTGCCTGGTTGCACTGTGTGGGAGTAGATGGGACCAAAGCCAGACTGCATGGACTTGAGCCTCACCCCTGCCTCACCCCTGATTTCTAGCTCTCTGCCCAGACCCACTACCCTTCAGTAGCTGTGGGACCTTGAACAACTGTTTTGCTTTTTTTTTTGGAGACAGGCTCTTATTATGTAGCCCAGGCTGGTCTTGAACTCACATTGATGCACCTGCCTCAAGTCTCTCAAGTGCTGGCACTACAGGCATGTACCACATACTTGGCACTACTACAAATGAGAAAACTAGGATCTTTTGAGGTTTAGCCATAGAGGTCACAACTGATGAAACTGTAGGTGCCAGGTTCCATGGCTCATGCTGGAAAACACTGTGTAGTCCAGTTTCTCTTGATTTGTTCATAGGTCTCTCTCTGAGGCAGCAATCAGGTCCTTTTTAGTTCTGGGTCCCACATGCCAAGTTCAGAGCTGGCCTTGAAGGGGGCTCACAAACACTGTCTCAATACATGAGGAAGGTGGTAATTCCCAGCAACTTCTGTAACTATCTGCTTCTATGTTGCAGACTGACTTGGAAGCACTTCAAGGGCACAGATCTATGTTCCAAGGGCTGAAAGGCTGACTTTCAAAAAGTACTTGTAACTGAATGAATAACAACCATCACAGTTAAGGACCTGAACATTTTCCACTTCCCATATAGCCTAACCAGGTCTTTATGTGCCCAGCTCTCAAAATCACTATGGAGTGACAGTTTTGATTATTCTGGGCTTACAGATAAAGAAACCGAGGCATGGGGAAGTTAAGAAACTGACTCAAGGGCATACAGCTCCTCAGGAAGAACAAGAATCTTCCACAGGCAATTTGCCTCCAGTCCCCTGGGCTCTGAAGAGATCAGCAAGCAAACAGAAGCCCTCTACATCTAGTCCCCCAAACAAGGCTGGAGTTAGGGTTCAGCCACTACCTTGTACTGTGGATTCAGGTGTCCCTTGTTCCCTCACAGGGCTGTTATCATGAGGAATAAATCGGCTAACATCTGTGAAGTGCTCAACAGGAAGCTTAACTCACAGTGCACACAGGGAAAGAGCTTCAATTTTTTCATTCAACATTTCTTAAGCATCTAGACACCCCTTTGTTTCGAGCTCAGGACATCAAGATAAAATATAGTATCCAAACCCATCTCAGCAATGGATGGAACATGAACATAATAAGGAAAGGAATGAAGGCTTGTCAACATGCTGAAGGCTTCTGGGTGCTCCAGCAGACGAACAGAGCACTGAGAATTTGATGGGAGAGAAGGAAGAATCCTGTTGGGGGCAGGATCAGAGAAGAAGACAAGAGGCTTGGGAGGATGACAGAAATTTCTGAACAAGGTCCAGGAGGCAGCAGGGGTGCAGGAGGGGGTCTAAGCATGGCTTAGGGCAGGGAGTACCCCAGTGAAGGACTTTCTCATATGAAATGGGATTAATAGTCAAGACTGTCCTCAGAAGAGGGAGCATGAAAAGTGAGAAAACATGTTACAGCATACATTGTAACATTTAAGGGTACACATAGCCCAAACTAACCACTCTGTAAACAGCTAATATTAAGGGGAAGGATTTTGGAGCCGAGAGCTTAGTTTCAAATTCTGGGTTCTGGGTCAGGGATTTAGCACAGTGGAGATGTGCCTGCCTCGCAGGTGCAAAGTCCTGAGTTCAATCCCCAGTAGCAGAAAAAAAAAATTTAGGGTTCTACCACTTTCCACATGACTCTGGGCCTCAGCTTCATCTGAAATGGGGGACTAATATCCTCCTCACTAAGTTGCCGTGAAGGTTAAATGAGTTCATAAATGGAAAGAAGCCTGTGCACAGTAATATGGAAGTACACACTATGATATGCACTGTAGAAGTATGAGGCCCAGAGAGGATTAGACACCTGTTGCAGGTCCCACAGTCAAGCGAGAAGTGTGTCAGCAACGCAAGGAACTCAGGCCTGTCCAGCTACTTACCAGCGGCTCCAAGTCCGGCAGACTCGCATGCAGACACACAGCTCTCGGGGCCCAAGGTGCTGGAAGACACGAAGCCAGGCAGCCCGGGGCAGAGGGTGGTCGGATCCAGCAGCCAAAGGCAGTGTGTCAGGCTCTGGGCTTCGAGGTGGGGGGCGTACCACATGCCGCTCCAGTTGTGGAGGCCGGGGTGGTGGAGCTGGGCCTAGGGGCCAGCTAAGCAGTGGTCCCCCACTACCAGGGCGCACAGCCCGCCGCCCCCCACGGTTCTCCTTCTCGCCGGAGCTGCCCCGGGCTGGCCGTCGCCCATTCCGGGCCTCGCCAGGGGCCTCATCCTCACTCAACGATGTGCCCGATGAGTCGGAGTCGGAGTCGGAGTCAGAAGAGGAAGAAGAAGTGTCAGGCACCCGCTCCAGCAGCTGGCACATCCGCTTGAAACGTTCTAGCTTCTCCCTCTGGGGTGATGGGGATGGCACCGCTGGGCCCTCAGCAGAGGCCAAAGGTGGCTTTGGTTTCTGCAAAGAGACAGGTTGAGGATGTTCTAGGGCCTAGCGCACAAATTCCTATCCCCTAACCCATTAGGAGTCACCAGGGAAAGAACAGCCCAAGGGACAGTCCTGAGTTCCACACTGCTCCCAAACAATGTGAGACCTTGGCCATCTCTGAACTTCAGTTTCCTTATCTGGACTATGAAGGTGTCAATCCCAAGGATTTAGAGGCTTATGGCTTTTGATGATTTGTGAACTTCTCAAAGCAGAAAGCCAGAGAGAGAAGTTTTGAGTGCTGGCTTGCCTATCAATTGATTAACCTTGTGAAGCCCTTGTTGCATCAGCTGACATGCAAAGGCTGCATCCCACAACTCTTGAGTGTCTACTCCATAACAGGAGAGCAATGATAATCTGGCCCTTTGTGGAGCATCAACTCTCACTGACTCATTAAATCCTCAGTGAACTAACACACTGGCTACATGAGCCATTCGTTTTTAGACATGGGAAACTGAGACTCCAAGTGACTACGTGAATTGCCCAAGTTAAAACCTGGCAAATGGTGGAGAGCAGGTTTTGAACACAACAATCACGCAGACCCTTGCATTTAGTGAGTGCAAAGTAACATCTGAATTCTGGCTTTTCTGTGTGGCACTGGGCAATACTCTTAACGTCTCTGGGTCTCATTTCTCCTGAATCCAGGTAAATATGTTCACAAAGCTCATTTACTTGCATGATCCCATTAGATTTATACAGTGCTGGGCTAGAGATTTAGTTCAGTGTTGCTGCTCCTGTCTGCCTCACAAGCATAAAGTTCCCAGTTCAATCCCCGATAAAAAAGAAAAAAAAAATTATACACTGCTTTGGAATAGGTAGGTCATAGTGTGTAGCTTCATCTCCATTTTATAGATGAGGAAATTGAGGCTCAGAACAGCTGAGAAGCTGCCAAGATCAACTGAAACAGTAGTTAGGCAGGAATCTGAACTCAGTTCTTTCCCCTTTAAAGCTTGGAGAGATAAAGCAAATGGGCAGGATGACATCTTAGGTGTTCTTGGGAGATGAGAGATTCTTGCAGCCTAGACTCAACCCACTCTCCCACCCAACTCTGCCCAGGGGTCCAGACCCATGGGGAGTCACATGAAGCTGCGACAGGACAAAGGACAAAGGAAGCAGGAAGGGTCAGAGCTTAATCAACCATAGTGGAGGGTGGGGTCAGGGAAGGTGGGAGGGGGAGGGAGGAGGTCCCTGGCACACCTCCCAGTTCTCGGGAGGGAGCCCAGGGTGGCAGGACGAGAACGCCTGGCTTGGATTCAGAACCCTGGGGGGCAGAAGGCCTGGGCCGCCTGGGTCCGATCCTCGGAGGAGGCAGGCATCTCCACCCACCTTCTTCAGGTGCCTCTCTCTGCCTCCTTTCACCTACCAGAGCAAGAGGGAGATATGGGGGAAGGGACAGACCCCATTAGGCCCCCAGTGCCTGCAAAACTAAGGTCCATGCCCTCCTCTTAAGACTACAAATCCCAGTAGCCCCCTCCCAGGGAGAACTCTGAGCATGCTCACCTTACAATCAGTGTCTTGGTTTACTGAGCATGCTCTCAGCTCCTCTTTCTTCGCCCTCAGGCTCTTTCCAACCCCTCCCTCCTCTGTAGCAGTTTGAGCATGCTCTCTCCTTCCTCCCTAACCCACCCAGGCAGGGCTCCCAAGGTTTCCTGGTCTGTACAGTTCCCCTTCACCTGTATTTCTTCACAGCAAGCATGCTCCACCCCTGAACTACTGAACTACATCTCCCAAAATCTCCTCAGGAGATGAACTCAAGGAGGCTGCTTCCCAGGCCCCACCCACAACAGAAAAAAATAAAGGGGAGGGCAGAACTACAGCTCCCAGAATCCCTTAGGCCGGACCTAGTGAGCATGCCCCATGGCTCACCTTTTTTCTTGGGGTAGGGGTCTCATTCCCTGCCTCCCTTTCCTTTCGTTTGGGGGGCCCAGGCACGTCCTCAGGCGGGGGGCCAGCAGGTAGAGGGCCCTTGCGCCTGGGTGGAGGCGGTGGAAGCGGCGGCTCCTCCGTCAGCTTCCATCCACTCCCTAGGCTGGCACCCTCCTCACCGTTGTCAGCCCTGCGGCGGCCTGGCCCCTCACCTGAATCCTGGGGAAATGGAAGCTGGGGTTGAGGCCTTGCATACCTCCCCAACCCCCTACCTACCCAGGAGGTAGCACTCAGCCCAGCTCTGCCCTACCTTGCTGGTTCGGCCTTCCTGGGTACAGCGAGGGCACTCCCAGCAGTTGGGGATCTCCGCATTGATGACACCCTCAGCCTTCCCCATCTGTAGGCAAGAGGACAGGGAGTGGATGGAGGGTGCCAGTAATCTTAGGGGGAATGTGGCCCACCTCCTTGCTCCCTGACAATGTGCCCCACCCCAGACTCCAAGGTCCCAGGAGCTATCACCTTCAGGCAGCCAGGGTGGACGATCTCGTTGCAGATTGTACACTCCATGAGGCTCAAACCAAATTTCTCTTCCTCTCCCTCCACTGTGTCCTCCTTCCCAGCCTCCCCACACAAGAGGCACACAGCTGTGTGTGGGAGCACGGGCTGTTGGGGGAGAGGGGACATCAGGGACCCCAAAAGCAAGCAATAGGGGAAGGACTTCCTTCTGGAGGCCCCGGCTAGCTTCTTGAGATTCAGAATCCATACGAAAAGCTGGGTAAAATCCTGAATTTGTTTCTTTTTGGCACTATGATCTCACTGACTGAACCTCAAGTCTCTGTTTCTGCTTCTGTAAAATGGCAATAAGAATCTCCCTAATAAGATTATTGTAAGGACAAGATAACGTATGAAAGGCGTTCGATACAGTTATTATCATCATTGCTGTGACTGTTACAGCTGGATCCAAGGCCAGTGTGACCCTGAAATTCTAGTTGGCTGTAGGGAGAGGCAAATGTGACAATATTCAGAGAAAGTTGGGGAAGATGCAACAGTAGCTTGGGGGTGATTCTGAATTTGCTCAACGAGCAGCCCAAGGGTGGCTCTGGGTCCTACAGTGAACCTGATTTTTGCATAGATCCTGAGAACACTAAAGGCAGCTGCTTAATCCTGGGGAAAATGGGGGTAGTGTTCAAACAATGGCAGGACTTCGGGGAAAGACAATGGTGATACTGAACCACAGGAGAGATGTTGAAGGTTGTGAGACAGGAGCAAGAAAAAAACAGGCAGGGAGAGAAGAAACAAGTAAGTGAGGCAAGGGGTTGGGAGACAGAGGAAGAGAGGTCCTATGGGGTGAAAAGTCCAAACCAGGAAAGAGTGGCAGGAGGAAGAGAGGGAGGTGGTAGTGTGGGAGGGGGATGCAGGATGCAGCTGGCTCCTCAGGGCTGTCAGAGCCTGGGGCCACTCTCAGAAGCCTGGGGCCTCTCAAAAGCTGAGGAAGGCAGGGAGGAAACTCACATTTCCCTCATACCTACTATGTGCTGGCCTTGTGGTATTTGTTTAATCTTTACAACTTAGCAAAGGAAATATTTTACAGAGAAGGTACCTGAAGTTCAAAATGACTTGCTCAACATCAAACAAAGGGAGAACCTGGTCTGAAATTCAAGACTACCCTAATGGGGAAGGAACAGGCCAGAGAAAGGCAAGAGCTCTTCACAGGAGACAGGTTTGGGAACAGACTCTTAATGCACAAATAACTGGGGAGCCAGAGCAGGGGCTGAGCTTTCTACAGGCCTGTGCTTCTGACAGGTGGGGAGAGGAAAGGCAGGGTCTGGGTCAGATCCTTCTGCGTACCTTAACACTGCCACCCCCACCCCAGATAAGGGTAAAAATGGACATTTAAACAAACCAGTGACTGAATAAAGGAAGTGAATGAATAAACAGCAACTCTGGGAGGCAGCCACCAGCCAGTGTGAAAGATGCTGGGGAAGCATGCCCAGAGCTTCAAAGGGGCCCAACAGTAGTAGGGGCAGAACTCACGGCAGTGCACTGCCGGAGCAGGCACGACTGCTTCATGCGCCCGGGCCCCCCGAACTTCTTCATGTCTCGGCAGAAGTGGCAGTCCCCGCACTCAGTTCGCACACAGGCCCGGCAGCGACGGCAGCGGGTTCGGCGTC